TTTTTTTTTAATTGAAGATTTGCTCTAACACATTGTCCTGCATACCAGAAATTCAAAGATAAATAAGATACCTTGAGCCTGAAAAGGTTAAAGAGGAGTATAAATATAAAATAAAAATAAAGAACAGTAGTGAGGCGGTGAATGATATCATGAGGTGGATCTGAGCCTTCTGGAAACAAATTCATTGTTGTTAAGACTGACAGCCATACTACGCCATAAATATAAACTTGCAAAATTCTTCTTTAAAATTTTTAAAGAAGAAACTCAGGAAAGATGGCTAACATTACACACATATAAACAGACACACTTCAGTTGCTTCCAGTGACCTGTCTGTGTTCATATGACTGTGTGAATATTTAAATGTCTATGTTTAGATTTAGCCAAATTTATTCATGACATTTTAAATATATAACATTCTCAATAACTGACACTTTAAGTAGTATGATTAATTCAATGCCCATTAGATTAGTGATTTATTCTGATACCTGGCATTGGTTCACAATGTCCCAAAAGTAACATTCAATAATATGTGCCAATATTCCAAAGTTTGGATCTTCTTTGGTACAACAAATATTAAAAGTAAATATAAACTCAAAACACAGTAATAAGTAGCACAGGAGTAGAGACAGCATTGTTTTTAGCTACAACTCATCCAAAGTATCTCGTCTATCAGTAATGACACGGATGTGCATCTGTCTTAGTTTTCCCTGAACTTCAATTTGCAGAATAGTGTAGCCTCTGGCGTCAGGCCGCCTAGATGGAAAATCATGTTCTCTTGCTTATAATCTATGTGGCTTCCTCAAGTCTCAATTTCCTTACCTATTAGATAGAGATAGTAATAGTGGCTACCTTTCTTTGACAGTATAAAACAGTCACTGCATTCATTTCATTTGCTTATCAATATATAGTTATTGAAAGCTGAGTATACCTAAAATACTCAGCAAAATGAGAATAATTCAGTCATTACCAAAGGAGAACATAATAGAAACTGAGACTGACATCATAGAACCCTGCCTATGGTTGTAATTGATAAAGCTAACAGAATTAAATATACAAAATACAGTGAGTAATGACTGTAAAATCAGAATCCATTGATCTAGTGGAAACATAGATAGAGTGGATCCTCACGATCAACTCAGTTTTCTCTCCCCTCATGCTACATAGTTTTCAAGCCACTTTAGCATGTCTTTGTGGAATCTCCCACTAAATAAATGATAAATGACTGGGAAAGCAGCTCATTTGATAAAGTTCTTACCTCCCTTGTACCAAGCCCTTGATTCAATCACCAACACCACATAAAATGGTTGTACAAGGCTATAATTTCACACTTGAAAAGGAGAGACAGGAGATCAGAAGTTTAAGGTCGTGGCTATACAGTGAGATTCAGGCCATCCTAGACTCCCCAAGACCCTGTCTCAAGGAGAAAGAGAGTGAAAGAAATAAAGAAAGAAGGAAGGAAGGGATGGAGAGAGAGATGGATGGACAGAAGGAGGGAGGGATGGAGGGAAGGACAGAGGGATGGAGGGAGGGACAGAGGGAGGATAGTTTTTCATAGATTTCCAATTTTAGTCAATCCTGAGATTAAGAATATGGGATTTTAAAAGCATTTGTTTGTATATTAATATTTGATAGTTCAGAGAGTAGGAAGGAAAGAATAGCGATGTACACGGGAAAGATCAACACGGTGCATGCTCTCCTGAGGTTTATATGCCCGAGCTTTGGTGAAAGCTACATCTCACTTTCATGAAAAGAAATCTCACCTCCTTTTGAGGTGAGAATGAAATGATGGTGTATTATTAGCCTTTTTATTAGCCTTTCCCTAAAATGCTTTATTTGTGGTAATAAGGAAGCAAACTTTCAGGGAGGCTGTATCTAAACAATGGCAGAGTGGGTCAAAGTCAAATGAGTTACATAGGGTGATTTGGGAAAGG